CATTGTAATGTTTTTACATAAAGAAATTAGACCAAGAGGTCTGGGATTAAAAACCACAGACAGTCAATGATAAGTCTTTTACGATGTGACCAGTCTTTCTTTTAAAATAATAAATTGAGATGTTTTGGCTCCCATCAGTCTATTTGACTAAACTTATTTGTTTATTACCATGTGACTGTCCAAGTTTTTGTGAGTTCATAAAACTGTCCACCCCACCCATATAATATAGTGCTTACTGTTTATAATCTACGTTATGTGTGGTCCTCTGCTTTCTGTTTTAGATTGCCAAATAATTCTGGACTTTGGTATACAGTGCTATGATTTTCCTTTTATATTGGTTGTTAAATGTTCTGTTTTGTTGGTTTTTTTTTGTTTGGTTTTACAATCTTTAAGTTTTATTTTTCAAATAAAGGTTTTACATAACATGCCATAAAACCGTACAAAATAACGTGTGGTGTTTTACATTGGTGTTTACCACACAAAATAATGTGTGGTGTTTCCACCCCCCATCCCCCTCTTCCCCCTCCTCATCAAGGGTAGCTATTTGAACAGCAAGTGGTGGTGGTCTGAGAACCTATCCTCGTGCAAGATCGTGTTGGCTTGGCAGTTTGTAGTGCGTTGTCTAGGGCACGACCTCCAACAGCTAGAGAGCTTACTTGTCTTATGGGAAGAAAAAGGTAATGATACATATATTGAATGAAGTACTATGTGAATAACCATTAACAGAACCTTTTTTTCCGTGGTCTTGGTTCGCTCAAGCAATCTCGTGCGTGGGTGGCGTCATGCGCCTATGGCACAGTTGGATATATTGATGGAAGCTGGCGGTGTCCGCCTGTGGGCCACTGCCGGTTAAGTTCCGTCTGCAAGATTAGCGTTAGTGGGTGTTATGTCCCTGGGGGGAACTAGGTATCGGGGAGCAGGAGAGGGGAGGGATGGGAAGTGAAGAGGGGGAGAGAAGAAGTGAGGGGTGAGAAGAGAAAAAAGGGGGGGGAGGGGGCAGGCAACCTGTCAAGGGAGTCATCTCAGTCGTGTGAGGTGCCGGTGGTGTTTTTCTGCGTGGCCCCTTAGGGCCGCATTTGTCGTTTCCGCGCTGTAGGAAGACCCATTGCTGGAAGGTGGGCACTCCGACTATTTCCATAGGGAGAGGATCAGTGATCTAGCTGCTGTGAGGAGGTGTTTAGTGAGGGATTTCTTGTATGTCGCTATGTTCATGTTTGTGTGGTTCAGGAGCACTTGGAGCGGCTGGAGGGGGATATCCGAGTCTACGATCTTGTGAATGGTGATGTGCACCATTTCCCAGAAAGGTGCTATCCGTGGGCAGGTCCACCATATGTGTATTCCAGTCCCCTTGTCTGTCCCACATCTCCAGCAGGTCTCGGAGATGTCACTCTTCATGCAGTGTAGGACGTCAGGGGTTTTGTACCATCTTGTCAGGAGTTTGTAATTAGTCTCTTGGTGTTTCGTGCTGGTTGAGCTTTTGTGTGTCAGTATATATATCTTTAACCATTTCTGCTCCGTAAGGTTTATCCACATTTCTTCCTCCCATAGGGCAGTAATTGGGGGGGGGAGGTGGTCTCTGTCTGTTTCCAGGAGTAGCATGTTGTACAGCGTTGATACTCCACGATCGAGGTGTTTCCTATTCGCGCAGGTCGCTTCGAATTGTGTTCGTTAGAGGTGAATTAGGGGCTTAGACCTGATGTAGGTGTGCAGTTGGTAGTGGTCGATGCCTCTGGGGGTGTCTCTCACGTATATGTCTGGCAGAGGCTTGAGTTTCCCATCTGTGCACCAGGTTTGTAGACCAGTCCAGTCAGTGACCTGGAAACTCTCCAGATTCTGGGGTTGGAGACCTCCTGCGAGGCTCGGGTTGTGTAGTATTGGCAGAAAGGGTTCGGGATTGGTGGTCAGCTGAAGTGTGTAACGCACAGCGTGCCAGGTCTGGAGGGTTGCGTCTATCATCGGGTTAATGGTTTTCACCTGTGTGAGCATCATTCCCCCCAACCAGAGTTGGGATGGGAGTCTACCTCTCGTCTGTCCCAGCTCCAGACTAGCCCACAGTTTCTCAGTTGGGCGGGCGTACCAGTCCACCAGCCTGTTTAAGTGTGATGCTTGGTGGTATAGTCCCATCTCGGGCAGACCCACCACACCGGACGCCTTAGGCAGTTCCAGCTAGCTCTGCTGGACCCCTGTGTTCCCCTAGTCCAAATGAATCTCCTCGGCGCAGTTGACAGTGATGTGAAGAAGGTTCTCTGGAGAGCCACGGAAATGTTGCTGAATAGGTACAGGAGACAAGGCAGTATATTCATTTTTACTGCATTGATGCGGCCGAACCATGAGACGTACAGGTCATTCCAGCAGTGCAGGTCATTTTGCACTTTGGATAGTATTGGTAAGAAGTTGGTATAGGTTTTTCAGTTTCACGACCAGCCAGATTCCGAGGTAGCAGATCTTATGTGTGTGCCAGGTAAAGGGGAACTGTCCCCTCAGGTGTTCGTAGGCCTCTGATTTGTCTATATATTCAGTTTGAGGTTGGATATCATCCCGTACGTCCTGAATAGTCTGAGAAGGTTTGGTAATGTGACCAAAGGTCTCTCCTGGAAAAAGAGCACATCGTCTGCATACGCCGTGACTATATGCTTCTGTTGTCCACTGGTGAGACCAGTAATTCCCCCATCTTGTCTCACCGCCTCTAGAAATGGTTCCAGAGAGAGGGCATACAGGAAGGGAGACAGAGGACACCCCCGTCAAGTTCCATTGCGGATGGGGAAGGCCGATGACAGGGCTCCATTGACCGTATTTGGGCAGTGCACGTTGTGTACAAGGCTGATACCCATGAGACACAAGGTAGCTGTCATATATTCCCAGTCTACGCGGTGAAAAGCTTTTTCGACGTCCATTGATAGGAGAATCTCTGCGCCCGAGTTGTTTGCAGAATAAATGACCTTCAGGGCTTTGATGGTGTTGTCCCTGGCTTCCCTGCCTGGGATGAAACCCACCTGGTCTTGGTGCACCAGCGTCACTCTGGCCAGGCGCAATGCCTCAGGTCCACATTGAGAAGTGATATCGGGCAGTAGCTTGAGAATTGGGATGCGTCCTTCCCTTCCTTTGGTAGGACCGTGACCACTGCAGCGAGGGAATCAGTGGGGAATCAGGAGTGCGTTCAGACACACCAGGAGTTTTGGCAGTAGTATGTCCTTGAAGGTCCTCAGCTGCCTAGAAGGCCATCTGGGCCCGGGACCCAATGTGTTTTAGTCCTTTTGAGGGCTCCTTTGGGCTCAAGAGTCGGAGGCAATTCCAGATCTTCCGTTATCTCAGGTGAGTCACATGGGTGGTTAGGAAGTTAAGTACTCTATTCCCGTGTAGTCCGTCTGCATTTCTTGGTTCCGTGTCTGACAAGTTGTAGAGTTTGGTATAGAGTTTTGCAAAATGTCAGCTAGGCGTCTTTGTTCTTTCTGCTTGTGCATCTTTATCATATAAATGTGGTGCCTCCTCCATTGCTTCTGTAACATGCATGGCAGTATTCTTCCACATTTGTTTGAGTGTTCATAAAAGTATTTGTTAGATTTCTGTAGGGTATGGAGTAGTTTCTGAGAAAGTAGGGCCTGTAGGCTTCTGTGTGTTGCTACCAACCTCAGGTAGGCCTCATCCATCTGGGTGGTTTTATGGTTTTGTTTCAGCTCGGTAATCTGCCTCACCAGGTCTGTCAGCTGTCGTGATAGCTTTTTCTTGCGTCGAGTGCATGTGCTAATTTAATGTCCTCTGACACATTTATGAGCCTCCCAGACGGTCAATGCCGATGTGTCTGGTGTCTCATTGGTTTCAAAGTATTGTGTGAGTACTATCCTTGCTTGTGTTATGTATTCTGGGGCCTGCATTCTCGTATATCATCCGGGGAGATTGTTTGTTTGGTTCCCCCCCCCATCTTCCAGTCCCCGGGTTGGTAACCTAGTGCGTCAGGGAAACCTTTTGTCGGGAATTACCATGGCTTCGTGCTATCTTCGACAAGACGATGTGTGGTTCGGTCTACTGGGATAGATGTATGCGCATCGCTAGCCCCGATGTGTCACCCTCCGGTGTGTTGAAGCCGTGTGTCGTCTTCCCGTGTTTGTTCTGTCAGTCTGTCCTGCGGCATGTGTCAGTGGGCACCCCAGGTCCCTCGGTCGCCCCGGCTCTGCTGGTTCAGTCCCCCTTGTCACCACCCAACCACCGCTCCATCCGTTCCCCTGGCTCCGCAGTCACCAGCTCGTCCGGAGGTCCCCGCGTCTGGTGCTTGGTGATGGGTGTAGGTGTCTCTGTGTAGCTTTCATTCCTGTGCCAGTCAAACCAGTTCCCCCTCCCTTCTCCCTCTTGCCCTCCCATCCAAAGAAAGGGCCGGAACCAGGGAACCTGGTAGTTTACTCTGCCACTATGGGTGTTTCCGCAGGGGACTGGGGCCTTGCTATACACCTCAGGGTTTTTGCTACACACAGCAATGGAAGTCACTCAGGGCGTAGGCGCTGGGGCTCCATGAGGCTCCAGTGTCCCATCCCCTGTCGTGGCGAGGGCCCCAACCCTTTCACAGGTGTGTTACTCTTCTGATCCGTCCGGGCCTCCCCGTCTGACCGTGGTGCCTTCCGCGTTCCAATCAGGGCGACTTCCAGTTGGTCCTCTTGGCTGGGCCCTTCTGGGCGGCGGACCTCTAATATCCAGTTTAGGACTGCCGGCAGGCCCATGGCTCTCAGGAATGCTGGGGTTGGTCCATCGCAGTACGTGCCAGACGTTGTCTCTCTTCGCCTGCAGGCTGAAGGGAAGCCCCAAGGTATGGGATGAGTCTTTCTTCTAGTGTCCATGTAAGCGGGCGCAGGGCCCTCCTGGCCTCAAAGGTGATCATGGAGAGGTCTTGGTACAACGAGATTTGTGTGTCCATATATAGTATGGATGAGTGAGGTCGGGCAGCTTGCATAACTGCCTCCTTGTGTCTGAAGGAGCGAAAGCAGCAAATCTTAGTGCTCTGTGGGTTCGCTCTAGTTCAAAGTCGGCAGGCGCTGCCCCTCCTCCCCCAGTAGCTGGGTGAATAGACCAGTAAGTACCTCCTGCAGGGACTCCTCCGGCAGGCCCCGGATCCTCACATTGATTCGTCTGCCACGGTTGTCGATGTCTTCAACTTGGCGTCTCAGCTCAAGGTTCATTGAGCCCTGCCTTGTGGTTGCCACCTCAGCCTCCTGCTGGCGTAGGGCTGCGTGTTGGCTTTCGGCCTCCACTTCTTTAACTCTGTTTTCCAGGTCTCTACGCACTCCCTGGATTTCTTCTCTCACGACTGCACACAGCTCTGCGACCATGTCTCGCCTGTCGCTGTGGGCGAGAATTTTTGCCGATATGGCTGCCAATTATGCAGATATCTGAGTTAGGGCTACATCTCTTGTCGATCCCTAGGCAGAGTCCGCAACACTGTCAGCAACTAGGGAAGAGGGCGCCATTTTGTCTATGTGCCGCAGGCCCCGAAGGCCGTTCGGAGTCGATAGAAAGTCATCAATCGGGCCTGTTAGTGATCTCGACGAGCTGGCACCTGAGGTACCCAAATGTCATCAGCCTTCTGGTTCTCCCCATTTTAGACTGTTTTGTAAGCCTTTTAGTGTTTTTATTTTATTTTTTAGTGGGCCGGGTCTGCGGAGCTGCAAAGACTCGCGTCCTACTCCATGTGCTGGCAGGCCATGCCCCCCTGTTCTGTTCTTTTTATGCATGATCCACACTACATTTTTATGAAGTATTTCCATGTGTTTGTAAGCTTGACACATTGTTTACACTTTACTAGTATAATCAATTTCTTTGATTTACTGATACAAATGGCAAAATGCCCCTTTCTTGTCTCATAGTGGTTTCACAGATAAATATCATCTTGTATTTGCCTATGGAGTGCCTAAAGTGTAAATATATCTGACTGTTTTCCTTATAGAATATGTTGCTTTGACAGATTGTATGTTACAAATTTTAGATTATTCTAGTTTTCTTGATGGAATGATCATAATTTTAATAATGACAGAAGGCGAATATTAATTATCCAGGCATGTGAAATCTTTATTGTCCGACGCTCGGGACATACATTACCGGGCAGCTGTGTTGGTATGCAATGTGTTTGTGTATGGGTCAGTGTGTGTATTTGTGTGTGCAGGTATGCAGTGAGTTTGTTTCAGTGCTTTTCCCAGCAACCAGCTCACTGGTACTCCAAGGTGCAGTAACTTCGCTGTTTATTCCAGAAGATGGGGCTACAGGACGTCCTTCATGTAAAGTAATCGACTCGATGTCCTGTGTCGCTGATACGTGGTTTACTCAGATCAGTCCATTAGCTGCTGCCCATCATATATAAAGTTCGCTTTATAGGCATTTTCTGTTTGCCAAGTCTGATAAGAACATATAATGATTGGTGGTCACTAAAAACCTAGACACACGCAGGTTAACTGCCTATTGTTGCAGACTTAGTAATAGATAAAACTAAAATGACAAGTAACTGTTATGTCACCACGGTAAATTATATAAATACTATCCACAAATAGAATGCTACAAATATACTTCTTGAGTATAATCTAAAGGATACCAATACAAATCAATTACATCAATAAAATATATTCCTTTTTTATATGTAATTTGTTTTTCCTATGCTTGACAAAAAGTGGCGCTTAAGGCAAACTCCACTCGATTTGTCAGGCCCATTTTCCCACAAAACTCCCCTGCCTTAGGGATGTGGAATTTTTCACCCGATGCCTGAGACATGCAGTTCTAGGTGCCGGGCAGGGTATTTATTTTTGCATTTAGTCCTGCCACAGGAAAGTTGCAGGGCTTCAAGATAGAGGACGGTGTTTGGAGCACAATGTGTGAGCGAGCACTATACTTTTAATAGCTTGGATACTTCAGTAGATGCTGAATCAGTGGTTCCAGCAAGTGAGTCAGAACGCATTGCAGACTCCTAGCATGCACTCTGACTCAGTGAGTGCCGGAACCACATGGAACAAAATTACTTAGGTCATGTATTGGACCTCGATACAATAAGTGCCAGGATCTGTATTCCTGGCACTATAGCTCTCCCTAACCCACCCTGCCCCCCCTACTCCCTTCCTCGTGACTCCTCCACCCCTCACTGACATGAATAAAGAGTTAAAAACACTTTATTTACTTACCTAATAAGAAAATCGGTGCTAGGTCGTGGCTCTGCCTCCTCTAACGTTCTGCAATGAGCGGGCGCTAATGCGCTTGCGTTGCATGCGCTGCGCGCACATTAGACCTCCCAGTAGGAAAGCATTAAATCAATGCTTTTTTTTTTATCAATTCTTTATTTTTGCATTGACAGACATTGAAGGCGATAACAGAGTTGGCTTACGCAGAAGCCCATTTTTCGAATGTGCTTTAGTCATGTTACAGAAAGGAAATCTGGGTTGTTAGTGTACATAATATAAGTTTTAGACATATTACATTTGGGTTGTGCAGAGGCCGTTGTCGCTTAGTTTTCGCTTCGCCTGTCAAGAGTTTTTTATTTATTTATTGTATGCACAAAAACATATACACAAGAAGAAAAAAGAACAAGATAAAATAGGAGTTAAATCTTAGAACTGCACGAGTGAGTAGCTGTCCGTGAGTGGGTGCTCATTTGTCTTATGGTTTTACGTCCTATTGTTCCCAAAGGGCCCATACCTTTTGAAATGTGGTGGTAGTGTTCCGAACGTTAGCTGTCATCTTGTCCATTAAGTAATTATCTCTGATTTTGGAAATCACTAGAGATAGTGGGGGTGTCTCAGGTTTTATCCAGTATTGTGCCAGTGCTCTGCAAGCTGCTAGATTGAGCATATTCAGAAGTTTTTGGTCGTGTTTGTCTAGTCCGTTAGTCGGTCGTGATAGTAGGCATGCCCAAGGGTCCAGTGTTATTTGTCGGTGTAGGATTTTAGTGTTCGTGTCCACTATTTTTCCCCAAAACTCTTTTACTTTGGTGCATTGCCACCACATGTGGATGTATGTGCCTTTTTCTCCACATAGTCGCAAACAAGTGTCAGTGGGGCAGAGTTGCATGTGATATTGCTTGACTGGGCTTGTATACCACCGGAGCATTATTTTATGTTTGTTCCTGTAGGGTCGTGCATATAGACACTTTTGTGTTAAATCAATGCTTTTTTATGGGGAAATATCTAACACTGGATGCCCTCATGCAGAGCGTTAGGACATCCAGCATCCCTTACCAAACCAAAGGTCCATTTGGATGCAGGGTGTGCCTCCAGTGGCTGTCCTGTAGACAGCCACTGGAGGCAGACTTAGTGCTGCAATGCAAACATTGCAATTCCTCTGTAACTGCAGTGTTTAGCATTACAGCACAAAGTGCAAAACGAACACTGTACTCAGACCACTTTAATTAGCTAAAGTGGTCTGGGTGCCTATAGTGTCCCTTTAAAGAAATATTTGGGTTAAGGGTTGATGAGTAGGAGAGACAGCACACACATTACATTCAGTCAGCACACACCAGACACACTTGCAATATATGCGCCAAGAGTAAAATATAGTCTAGAACCCAGACAGGTGAATACAAACTATTGTATGAAGTAAATACTTAAGAGTACCAATAAATAAAACAAATAATTGTCCTTGCAAAGATAAAATATTGAATACAACATATACATGTATAGTCCCAAATTTGTTATTCTTTCTAGTCACAAAGTATTCTTTACGGTGTTCCTGATTGTGGCTTAACTTCATGAAAGGCACACACAACACATAAGTCCACAATTGCCAACTCACATGTAATTGAGCTCAGACCAGCTCCAGTGTATACAGCATATGGTGGTTTAGATCCCCACTTGTAGGATATCTTGCTGGTACTCTTCCACAGAAATGTAGTGGTGAAGTGGACCATATAGGGGGAAAAAAACACAAATAGTGCTCTCCGTATGAATAAGTGTAGAAATGTTAGTTGAAATGTTACTTACACAAGTTTCACCTTGCTTCTTTCAGCTTCAGGTAAAAAAAAATCTCTAAAACAGAAATTAGAGAGGTTTTTTTTGTTTGTGTTTTTTTGTTTTATTTATTTTTTAGATTTTTTTTACCTGAAGCTGAAACAAGCAAGGTGAATTGTTAGTGTAGGGCTCACCTAAGATATTTGCCTTAATGTGGCAGCTACATCTGCGGATATCAGTTAAAGAATCCTTGATGGGTATTGTACCACCCACCCCTGATACATAGAGTGATTTGTCTGCTTGTGACACTGTTTTCAACAATTTGTTTTTTAAATAATTTTTTAGCCTTCTTTTGGATCAGTAGCATAAACAAATGTTTCAATGTGAAATAGATACTCTTTAGTATTTTTTATTTTATGTAGGATTGGGTCCAATGTTCCTAAGGCACTACGTGGGCAGCAGTAATATATTCTTATAGGTCCTAACTGCTAGCCTGGCCTTATAGAGAGACTATAAGCACAAAAACAACTTTAGTTGAATGAAGCACTTTTAGTGTATAGATCAGGGATAGACAACCTTTGGCACTCAGATTTTGTGCCATAATGCCCTTACAGCAAGAATGCTGGCAGTGCATTGAGGGAGATATAGTTCACAACATCTGTATTGCCAAAGGTTGCCTACCCCTGGTGTGGCGGAACCAACCTCGCCACTGTGCACTGGAGAAGTCTGGTTGCTCGCCTGCTCCCTTTAGATTATGGCCCTGCAGTTCAGAGCTGTTATTCTCACTGCTGAAAGGTTTATTCGTGCCTTTCTGCCAGGGGGTTCGGTAGATTCCATCTACCGAACAAATTACCGAACGATGGACCACCTGGGAGCTGGAGTGTGCCGTCAATTGACCGCCCAGAAGCTGCGGTTAACCGCAGCTTAATTGATGAACGCTGGGTGGCCTTTGTTCGTCTGCCGAACACGTGGCAGCGGCCATTTTACCTCCCGAACGGCCAGCGGTGTTCAGCGCCCAAACTATGGAACTGAAAACGGACACTTATTGGCGCGAACACCGCTGAGCCGCCAGCCTCCTTACCTTCCCATTCGGTAAGCAGAACCGAATGACTGTTCATTCGGTAGTTTCGCCGGATGAACAGCATCCCCCAGATAGCTAAGCCATGGAGCCTATTCGTGTAACGAAAGACTATGGGAAAGACTTTGGCTCCATGGCGATTGAACTGTATGTATGTGATCTGAGCGCCATTCGGTAGTAATGTGCGCTCAGATCTAAGCTATCTGGGGATATGTAGAATGTATATGTGTTAGGTAATAAATGTTACTGTATGTAATTTTATGTCTTTTGCTGTATTGTTACTGCCATGTGGTTAATGGAGTTTTGCCTCTGTCCTGGGAGATAAGTGGAT